TATCAACTATCAACTTTATCAACTTCATCATGAACTCTCTATAGACTGTTAGAATTTTCTCTTCTTGTGTGCCCAAGCATTACAAAGTTGATTTTATCCTTCCTGACATTACAGTGGATTGTTTCCCTGTCACTTCACCCAGGTTTTACATTTCTTGAGGATGAGAACCATGTCTGTTTCATCTTGCACAATCCGTGATATTGGCCATGGAGCACTACACTAAATAAATCAGAATGTATGTACAGACCACTTTGGTCTTGCTCGCCTCAGTTACCAAAATACATATTTTTCCATTTCCTTTTTAGCAGAAGATCTTGCCTTGTTCTAAACTGAGTTTGTTGAAGCCACACAACTTGAACTTCCTCATTTCCCTCTTTCTCACCCCAAACCTTCCTGACTTCACTCTCGTATCTGAAAAAGGGTTTCTCTTTTCATTGCCATGCCTGACAATCTTTTTCATTTTTTTGGATTCCAGTAATCATTCTGGGGGCAATTTCTCCTTTCTTCTCCTTTTTATCTTCAACTTCTCCTAAGTCTTTCACTTGACTCAGAAGCTTGTGAAGGTCTTTCCCAGCTTAAATGCAGTTTCCCCTTAATGTTGTTTTTCTCTCAAGGGAGAGCCTCTTCTTTTCTCCTGTTTTCACTGCCCAGATTCCTGAAAGCCTGCTTACACCTGCTGCCTTCTTTTTTTCATTTCAATTCACTCTTTACTCTTCTGAAATACAGCTTCTACCTTTAACACTCTAAGTTCCATTGAAGGTTATTGGTGCCTCACTAATTATAAAACACAGTAACACTTTCTTCTATCTTACCCTTTTGAACATTTTTTGCAGCATTTTATTTTTTTGAGAATCCTCCCTCTATGATTTTCTCCCCCTTCTCTTGGTTTACAGGAAATCCTCCTCTCGAGGTAATTCTCAATCTCGAATTTCTGGTGATAATCCCGTCACTAATTCCTCTTAAGGCCCGTGCTTCCGAACGCTGTCTGTGTTCTTTGCTTACACTCCCTCTGTTGGCAATGTCAACCCCACATAGGAAGGGAGACCTACTGGTCAGAAGAGACCAGGGACAGTGTTCAGTGAGGACAGCAGGATGTGTGATACACGATCTGCCTAGTTCTTCTAAGACCACATACCTTCTAGGGCTGTTTTTTCTTTTTTTCCCCAGCCTAGTTTCCATTTGCCTAAGCTGCTGTCAGTGATTCTGCAGGTAAACGATTTCTGAGTGGTGTAACACAACTTTATGAAAGTGTTCTGCCCAGCACCTAATGACACAGAGCTCCTCTATCTTAATTGGTTATCAGTGTGAGGAGCTTCCAATCCTGGGGACACCAGAAGGGTATCTCTGTGCATAATGAATATTTTTGACTGAGTTGGGTGTAGGCAAGCCCCATTCTGAAGAGGTTGACGATTTTTCTGTCTCATTGTTTGTTTCTTCCAGAATGAGTTCTAGATGGGTTCCCTGGGTGGTGGCTTTGTCAGTGAATGTAATCTGGCCGGATTCCTCCATGATTCAAGGCAGAGATTCTCCAGGTAAGAGCACAGTGATTTTTTTCAGCCGTATATGCAATAATTAGGGTGGGGGAAGTATGCCTTTTCCTATAGGTCCAGGCTACAGTCCAGACAGTGGCTTCTGGCTTGAAAGAAAGTACTCTTACCTTTGACAGAAAGGTATTCTTATGTATATATTTGTATGACTGGGACATTAGCTGTACACCAGAAACTGATACATTGTAACTGGCTATATACTTCAATTAAAAAAAAAAGAAAAAAATGTTCTTTTCCTCTTTACCACACACAATGTATTGTGGGTAAAGACACTTCCTGTCTCATAACCATGGATGCAAGGAGCAGGGAGGCAAGAAAAAGGGAAACATATCACCTTGCTCAGGGCCCTTTCTGTATCAGTGTCACTACGGGGAACTGCAAGGATGGAGGCAGTCTGAGAATTGCTGCTATTCTTCTTTTTTAATTGAAGCAGAGTTGATGTATAATATTGTGTTAGTTTCTGGTGTACAGCATAGTGATTCAGTTATACATATTATATAGATTCTTTTTCATCATAGGTTATTACAAGATATTGAATACAGTTCCCTGTGCCATACAGTAGGACCTTGATGTTTATCTATTTTATATATAGTAGTTTTGGATTTGCAAATCCCAAAGTCCCAGTTTATCTCTCCTTTCCCTTTCTCCTTTGGTAATTATAAGTTTTTCTATGTCTGTAAGTCAGTTTCTGTTCTGTAAATAAGTTCATCTGTGTCATTGTTTTAGGTTCCACATATAAGTTATATCATATGAAATTTGTCTTTCTCTGTCCGACTTACTTCACTTACTATGACAGTCTCTAGGATCATCCATGTGGCTGCAAATGGCATTATTTCATTCTTTTTTATGGCTGAGTATTGTTTCACGGTGTATGTACATACCATAACTTCTTTATCCAATCATCTGTTGATGGACATTTAGGTTGCTTCCATGTCTTGGCTATTGTAAATAGTGCTGCTCTGAACATTGGGATGCATGTATCTTTTCAAATTAGTTTTCTCCAGATATATGCCCAGGATTGGGGTTGCTGGATCATATAGTGAGTCTGTTTTTAGTTTTTTAAGGACTCCCCATTCGGTTTTCCATAGTGGCCACACCAAACTACTTTCCCACTAACAGTGTAGGAGGGTTCCCTTTCTCCACACCCTCTCCTAGCTGCTACTTTTAAGCCAGGAGTTTGATGATTGTGACTGTTTTTGTATTCAACCAAATGGGGTACTTGTAGACAAAAGAACTTGGAAACAAAGGTTGCTTCATGTGACATTTTTAAGCATCTATCATATGATCAGGGTGTACTAAGCAATTTTGAGAAATAAGAGAATTTGAATGTATTATCCCCATCCTCAGTTTACCAGGTACGTGTAATTTACTGCTGTTATTTTTCTAGCTGAGGAGTTAAGCTATGCAAACACGAAGCAGTGTTATGTTATGAAAACATATGTAGCAGAAAAAACAGGATATAATGTGCTCAAAACAGAACCCCTTTGAATGTCAAAGTCTCATTAAACACAAAAGAGGAACAAACTTAGGGGTGGAGAGGGTGGGTGGGAGCAAATCACTATTCTTAGACAACAGAAACCTCTCTGAGCTTTTGATGTTCATTAAACAAGACACACACACACACACAAAATCAGTAAGATCTTAAATCTTATATAGCTATGACTAAAAAATAATTTTTTTCTGATTTAGATTGTAAGAGGACATAGAAAATTGGAGGTTCGAGCCTCATCTGAAATTAGCTGTTTCGTTAGAGATGAGTGTGGTTGACCCAGGAAGGCTGCTGCCATCCTTACACTCAGCTTAATAGTTCCCCTGAACTTACAAATGAAAGCAAATCTACTACTCAAGATCAGTAAAATTAGCCTTTAAGTCTCAACTTCAGTGGCATTTCTTCAGGGAGATCTTTCCCGATCAACCTGCATTATCAGCCCATTTGAATTGCCTTTTATTATTGTTGTTCTCAAGTGCATAGAATGGCGTTGGTCTTTCCCAGTGAGTTCACAGCACCTTGTAATCATGGATCGGAACAAGGACTCCCTCTTTTCTCCATTCTTACCCCCATTCTAATGTGTCTGGTATGTCTTCAAGTATGAGGATGGCTTTAAAAAGATGTAGTGTTGTTTTCCTGTGTGTATTTTAAAAGTTTAATAAATGTCATTGTGCATTGAATCACATTCTGCTTCTTTTCTTACTTAACACCATGCTTTTGAGCTCTACCTCGGCGGTGCTGCGTCTTTATTGATGGGGAAGCAGGTCAGGGAGGGTAAGTGTCCGTTTCTACATAAAACTACTAGATATAGAACTAGAACTTGAATCAACTGAGACCTGAGCCAGGGCCATTTATCAGTTTGGCTCTTCAAAGTTTCCAGATCTTCAAATCTAAGACAGCTGTCTCTTAGTGTGTTTGGGCTGCTCTGACAAATGCCAAAGACTGGCTGTCTTATTGACAAGAGAAATTCCCCAAAGCTCTGGTGGCTGGAAGTGTCAGATGAAGGCTCCATCCAGCATGGTCAGGTCTGGTGAAGGCGCCTTCTCTCCGTGTCCTCACGTGGTGGGAGGGGCTAGGGATCTCTCTAGAGCCTCTTTTATAAGAGCGCTAATCTCATTCATCAGCGCTTCACCCTCCTGACCTAAGCACTTCCCCAAAACACCACTGACTAATACCATCACCTTTGGGCACTGGGATTTCAACATATGACTTTTAGGGAGGACACAAACATTCAGACCATAGTACACTAAATCATACTTTTTCCTATTTATGAAGATTGATTAAATAGCTTTGGAAAATTAAATTATTTTGGAGAACATGAGCCGATTAGAAATGAGGTACATTGCACAAAAGTTAATACAGAGCTCAAATTAGTCGCTGTCAACAATAGTAAGGTACTTTGAAAGTGGAAAATCATAATGGAGAATGAAGTTGGATATTTTTATTCCCTCCTCAATGGAAGTGTTTAATATAAAAGCCTCCAGAGAAGGTTTAAGTTAACCTTATATTTCCTATCACCACGTTACTGCAACCACTAGAACTACAGGTATGGTGCCGATGATGATGATGATGATAAAAGACATTTTCAAGCCATGTTAATATCATTTTACCCAATATTGATAGAGGTAATGAGGTCATTACTTTACTGGAGCCAACAGAGGGGATGAGGTCACTGAGTAATTGTGGGAAGGAAAAGGTCCAGAAGAAAATTCTTGGAGAAAACCCACAGTGAGGGGAAGGTGGAGGGGAGTTTATTTCACATCTGCTAAGAACCTCCTCTGCATGTCTTTGCCCCCGCTCCACCACTGCTTTACTTTACTCTTGAAGGAAGTACAGAATAAATCTGTTAAGGGCAAGAATACCGAAGAATTACCGCATATGGGGATGGATATTTTGACTTATTAATGGGAATTAAAACCTTGAGCTTCTGAAAGCTTGGCTTGGAGGAACTTAGCACAGTGTCTGGCAAAACACAGTCTATAAATATTTGTCCAATGAGTGAATGAATGAATGAGTACTTGTTGAAGGAACGTTTGTCTCTTGACTCACTTTGAGTTGCCTCTTTGGGTTACATGTCTCCTGTTTGGCTGGCCTGGTAGGGTGGGCCTCACTCTTCTTTGCCAAGAGGAGCTGGGGTGGGGCCCATGGGAGCAGAGGCTACTTTGGCTGATTTCCTGGAGTCAAAGCTTTCCTCTCAAATCCATGTGGTCTGGCATAATTTACCAGGCATTGATTTCCTAACAGTAGGGCCTGGTTCATAGTCTCTCTTTTTGTTTCCCAGAGGATTTTGTGATTCAGGCAAAGGCTGACTGTTACTTCACCAATGGGACAGAAAAGGTGCAGTTTGTGGTCAGATTCATCTTTAACTTGGAGGAGTATGCACGTTTCGACAGCGATGTGGGAATGTTTGTGGCCCTGACGGAGCTGGGGCGGCCTGACGCTGAGCTGTGGAACAATCGGTCGGACATCCTGGAGAGGAGCAGGGCTTCTGTGGATCTGCTCTGCAGACAGAACTACGAGCTGGGAGCACCCTTCACTGTGGGGAGAAGAGGTGAGCTGAAACGTGGGGTCTGCTGGGGTTCAATAATCTCGCCCACGAGAACTTGACCATGGCTCTTCCTCCTGTGCTAGGCAGTTTCCTGCTTCAGGATAATGGGCTAGGATCAGTAGGTGGGTGGGGGTTCTGTGTATATGTTCTGTCCCCAGTTGTGACTCACTCATTATCCTCAGGTTACTGTGGTCTTGGTCTCAGATCCCCAGCTCTCAGGGACTAATGTGCTCTCAAATACAAGGGGTAATCGTGGGAGTGTCTGATAAAGCCTAAATCCTCCTTGGGGACACTCATATATTCAGTGTCTGAGTCTTCAAGGATGAGATTTCCCCAAATTTCCAGTTTCCCCTTGGGTCATCTGAGAAAGAGATTAGGGGCAGAGATAGTACCTATAAAAACCCTCTGTTGGCTTTGTGATTTTTTCCTTCACAATGTCTCATTCTTCTCTCCCTTCCTAGTGCAACCAGAGGTGACAGTGTATCCGGAGAGGACCCCATCCCTGCAGCACCACAGTCTGCTGCTTTGCTCTGTGACAGGCTTCTATCCAGGGGACATCAAGATCAGGTGGTTCCGGAATGGGCGGGAGGAGAGAGAGGGGGTCATGCCCACTGGCCTCATCAGGAACGGGGACTGGACCTTTCAGACAACGGTGATGCTGGAAATGATTCCGGAACTTGGAGATGTCTACACCTGCCTGGTTGACCATCCCAGCCTGCTGAGCCCTGTTTCTGTGGAGTGGAGTGAGAATCAGCTTCTTGTACTTTCTGGGCCAGACTTGGGTCAATCTGACTCAACACGGGGCCTGTGTCGCCTCTGGGTTCTTCTTGGTCACAACACGAGTTCTTCTTGCCCCTGATCTGAGGGAGTCATACAAACTGGGGTCATTGGGTTGGGGTGGGCGAAACCATGGCAGTTATCTATCCTTGTATCTCCCAGGAAATAAGGTGGTCTAATCACGTCATCACTCGCTTCCAGCTTTGAGAACTCATATCCTCTGACACTTTGGTCTTGGCACTTAGAAGGTGTTCTTAAGGGCGATCAGTACGAGAAATTCCATGGGTACAAGCCTTGGCTCCATTTCTAAATGCATTCCTTCTTCAGATAGCATTAGATTTGGTGTCCAGCACAGGCTTTGGGATTTCAGGAAGGCACACCAAATATTGGGAGCTTTTGGCTAACTTTAAGACCTGTTTCCCATAGGAGCTCAGTCTGAATATTCCTGGGGAAAGATGCTAAGTGGAGTTGCAGCCTTCCTGGTTGGACTCATCTTCCTTCTGGTGGGGATCACTGTCCACGTCAGGGCCCGGAAAGGTAATGAGCTCTGACGAGTACCCACCCCCTGCCCCGTGGCTTCCCCCACTGCCCACTTTTCCTAGCGTCTAAGATGCAAGGCAGGGAGGGCTGACTGTGCTTCTCAGGGATGACTGGAGTAGTCCTTTCTGAAGCCAGAAACATTCTAGGGGGCAAGTGGAGATGGAGTTCTGGTACCACCAGGATGGTCACAACACTGGGTCCTAATTGGGGCATCCTATTTCTTCCTTCTTTTTTATTCCAGGATATGTGGAGACTCAGTTGTCTGGTGATAAGGTAATGTCTCCTTCCTTATCTTTGGGTGCAAATCACTCACCCATCCTTTGGCCAGAGGGAGGGTCATGTCATGGGGATAAGATGTAAGTGGCTGTGCCTGGGTGCTCTGCCTGCTGAGTCCCTGCACTGGGAGGATGGGGGCCTCACGAGACTTTGTCACTGTCCCTGCAGGTCTTGGGAGCAGTTTGTCCAGAACAGCCACACTAAGGTCCTAACTGAAGCTTCTCCCCCTGGAGCTGGAAGCAGGACCGAGTGGTCTGGGTCCCGGACTAAGTAGAGGACATTCATGAGGTCAAAGTTCTGGATGATTTTTTCCCGTGAGGTCTTGGAGGAGCCCTGAACAGATTCTAGAATTCTGTGTTCTGAGACCAGCATCTCTAACCCTTCTTCCCTTCTTTCTCCTGCATGTCTGTGTCCTGAGTCCCCATTTCCAAGGACAGTGTCCAGAAATTCCCCTGAGACCTGGCTCCTTCCAGTTCAAAACGGTTTACTTTTCTGTGGTCCAGCCCCAACCCCGTAGCTGTCATCTCTGTCTTTCTCTCTTCCAACTGCCGTCTCCACAGACTTCAGAAGACAAATGCTCAGACAGTCACTGCTTTCTTTTTGTTGTTTTTGGCCTTTTTCCCTTTAAAATAAAATTGAGATACAGGTAACCACATAAAATGTATAGCTCAATAAATTATTTTTTTGCAAGTTGATATGTATTTACATGGAAAAACACTCACAACATATTAATAAGTGAAAAAGACTACAACACACTATGCATATCATATATAACATCAGCTTATCTTTGGAAACATATATATGTTTATGAGTATGTGTTTAGAAAAAAACTTGGAAGGATGTACTTCAAAAGTTCCGTAGCACTTATCTTCAGGCAATGGGTGAATTTTACTTTCTCCTTTTTTTTCCCCCAATAAGTTATTTAAGGCGAAATCCCTATAATCAACACTCAGTTCAAGAAACAGAAACTTCCAGCCACGGCGGAAGTCTCCGTGGGCTGCAGACCAGTCAAGCCCCTCTCCTTCTAAAAGCAGTGGCTCTATGGCTGCTATGGCGACCACCTCGGAGTGTTTCTTCATAGTTTGTTCATTCAAGTGTGAATTCTTGGACACCGTAGGTGTAATTTTTTTTAATGTCTCTTCTATTTTACAGGTTTCTCCTCCGTCCCTTTCTTTTTCTTATGGTTAATATGTTGAAAAGCCTGTGCCATTTGACCTGCAGTTTTCCACAGTCTGGATTTTGCCGATTGCGGACACCTGGTGCAGTTCAACATGTCCCTCTGTCCTCTGCATGTCCTACAAATTGGCACCCGAATGCAGAGGCTGGGTCAGACTTAGGTTTCATTCCCTCTGGAAAGTCTATTGGTGGTGGTGTCGTCTCACCATGAGGCACATAATGTCCAGTTGTCTCTCATTTTATGTTGTTAATAACCTCTGATGCTTTTGCCTGAGTCCTTTAATTCGCTGGGAATTGCAGAATGAGAATATGCTAATTCTATAATTCCTTCTTCATTTATATGCTTTATTACTTCTCTAAAGAGACACTTCCCTTTGTTTACTAGTGGTTGCCCAGTGATACTCTGGAAAGAAGGATCAATGTTGAATTCTTTCCCTTTATTTACTAGTTTTCAGGTTAATGTATTTCCTCCCCAACTGTTATCCAAAAGTGAGCAGTTAGGTTTTACTTTTAATTTTTTTGTAGTATCAAAAAGTCAAGGATCTAAATGCATTTGATGGATTTTAACTCATTGAAATGTTTTGTCCATGTTGAAGTTCAAATGTATAATCTTTGGTCAAGAGAAACTTGTTCGAGTGACTGCTGAGTTTGTTTGACACAAGTCTTTTGATCGTTTCTTTGTTATCCGGTATGACAAAATGCTCCAGGTTCATTCTGTACATTTCCTGTCCAAATCTGGAATCAGCCATTTTTGGTATCGATTAATTGCAGGCATATTATTTCTTAAAGAGTAAGATCTATGGAGTGTCTCTGGCAGTAAAGATTTTGCCCAGAATTAGGCCTGAAGTTGCGTTTCTGCCACCTTGCTCCATCAGAAAGTCTTCCTCTTCGTTTTCACCATTGTCCTTGGGAGGTGCGGAGACCTCTTAGGGTTGAGCCCCAGAGTATGCTTTGGAGGGGAAGGTAAGGTAGGAGAGGCAGTCATAGGTCTTCCGTGGTGGTGGTGGTGGTGGCGGTGGTGGTGGTGGGGAGGGAGGGGAAAATTGGGGGGCAGAAAGATCTCATCTAGGGCATCCTCAGTAAACCAGAGATGAGCTGAAAGACTATAGAGTTTCATGTCAAAGTGACGGACATGGTCACAATGCTAGGTTAAATAAAATTCCAGTTGGAAAAAGTTCAGAAATTTAGCAATCTTAAACTTGAGTAAGCGTTTGTTTTGCAACGCTGGGTCATTACTCCGAGGATGTGATGTGGCACTTCTACCACCAGACGGCGATCGAGACCGGAATTTAAGTTGGTTTTCTCCACTTCGTCCGTGGAGGGAATCCCGGTGGAAACCTGACATTTTCTAAAGGGCTTTCCCCACGTAGCCTTAGAATCTCTTTTTTTTTTCTTATATTACCTCGGTCTGCAAGGCTCTGAAAGGAACAATGGGGGGATCTCCCTCCCTCAGCGAAGGGAGAAGAGGTGGTGAGAAGATTTCCAGCCCAGTCACGGAAGAGCCCTGCTTCTGTTTCCTCATTGCCGGTCTCCCCTCCTCAAACCCCACCTTGCTTGCGCTACCGTTCTTCATTACCGCCTTTACTGAGGAAGTCTGCAGCTGCAGTGGCAGGGACCCAGGTGAAAGACAAATTAAAATTTAATACTCCATAAAATGATCTTATGGACACCACCCAAAATCTGGTTAATTAAAACTCAAGAGTCAACAAGAAGCAAGTCCACTTGGCAAACTGGCTATACTGTGACCTCAGGGCACTGGCCAGCTGCCCAATTGCCATGAGGTGTCTCAGGCCACAGGCACATGAAAAGATGTTCAACATCATTAATTATTGAGGAAATGCCAATCAAAACTGCAATGAGCTAGCATGTCATGTCTGTTAGAATGGTTGTCTTCAAAAAGACAGGTAGGTGTGGGCAAGGATGTGGAGAAAAGGGAACCCTCCTACACTGTTGGGGGCAAGCAAGTTAGTGCAGCTACTGTGGAAAATAGTACAGAGCTTCTTCAAAACATTAAGAATAGAACTGCCTTACAGTTCAGCCACTCCACTTTAGGGTATTTATCCACAGATTACAAAAAAGCTAATTCAAAAAGATACATGCACCCCAATGTTCATTGCAGCACTATTTATAACAGCCAACATATGGAAACAATCTAAGTGGATGAATGGGTGACTGGATAAAGAAATGTGGTGTATATATGTACACACAGCACATACACAATGGACTACTACTCAGCCATAAAAAGGATGAAATCTTGTCATTTGTGACTGTATGGATGAACCTTGAAGATATTGAGCATAGTGAAATAAATCAGACAGAGAAACACAAATAAAGTATGATTTCACTCATATGTGAAATATAAAAACATAAACATACAACAAAACCAAATGAAAATGAACACATAGATACAAAGAGCAAATTGGTGTTTACCAGTGGGGACAGGGGCATGGGGGAGGGCAAAATGAGTAAAGGGAGTCAATTGTAAGGTGAGAGATGGAAAGTAGACTTTTGTTGGTGAGCATGTTGTGGTGTATACGGAAGTTGGTAGATAATGTTGTACACGTGAAACTTACATAATATTATAAACCAGTGTTACCCACAGGGAACTATATTCAATGGCTTATATTAACTTGTAATGAAAAAGAATATGAAAAAGAGTATGTATATGTGTGTATATATATATATATATATGTATATATATGTATATATATATATATACACACACACATATATATATATGTATAACTGAATCACTGTGCTGTACACCAGAAACTAATACAACATTGTAAATCAGAAAATAAAAATAAAAATTAAAAACTCCAATGTTACCTCAAAAAAAAAAAGACTGAAGCTAACAGAGATTATGTAATTGATGGTTATAAAGTTTATAATTTTTTTGTGATACAAGTACATTTTTCTCAAAATCTGTTGCTTTTTACATTGTATCCTGTGGTGTCTCATACTGGCCAAGTCAAGGAAGGTAATGAACAGCTTTTAGACGATTATTTTCTCTCCCAGAGAATATCACTCCGTTTCCTTCCACCTCCCTACTCTCAAAACCTTAATATAAGGACCAGATAAATTAGATAAATGTCCCAGTAAGAAATACTGCACATCACTTTCTTCTTCTGGTTCCTTAAACCTCCAAACATCTTTTCAGCTTATCACCCAGTTCAGTGATACTTGGTGATGACATAGTGTTGGGCACCATGTAGGTGGTCCATGAATGATTTTTGAATCGAGAACTTTCCTTAAAGGTGTTTACCCAGAGACAAATGAGAGCCTAAGTTATTGGATTGATTGGCTTTTTCCCTAGGTACTGACCAATCCTAACATTCATAGAAGGTTTCCTCATTTCCATTGTCTGCAAAGTGAAACATCAGGTGAATTGGCTGCAGCTGTGGGGACTGCCAATGCTTTTGTTAAATTGTTCCTGTTTCCAGTGTGGAAGGATGAGGGTGACCATTTCCAGGAGCCCTTGAACAGCAGCTGGAATTGTGACGGTTGTTTTCCTGGTGCTGAGGACTCCCATGGCTCACGGCAGAGGTGCTCCAAGTAAGTGCTAGACAGCTTCTCTTCAGAGATCCCAGATCTGGGAACTAATTTCCTGGACACTGGGGCTTAGAGTGGGGTGTGTTGCCCTCTGAAAAAATCCCAGTTAGACTTTGGAAGGGCTTCTATCACAGTCCGGATTTCTCTTCCACAGGAAAAAGAATTTTACTAGATTCCTGTTTTCAATCTCTGCAGTTGAAGCAAGACTAGCTTCTCTTGGGGGAAAGACTTTGGGATCTCAGAGTTGGAAGAAAAAGAGAAAACCCATTTCTATACTGGGTGCAAGACAAAATGGGATGCATTAAAGCACCTCAGAGAGTGAGTTAAAAGGATTTACTACCCTAGGGACTTTCTGGGGCAAGTGGTGTTCACGTGCTATCGGACAGAGGGTTGGAGAAATTCAAGGTAGCCTTGACCGCTGCAGCTTCACTATCTGAAGAGTGTGAGCATGGGTTCACGGAGATAACTTTGGAGGATGTGAGAGGAAAAGTGGGATGAGGACAGGCAGTGACTGCCACTAGCTCTGAGTTTATATACAAACTTGGGACAGTGTGGATGGTGACTAGGGCTATGAGAATGATGAAAAACCAAGGGAATTGATATTTATTTTATACTCACAAATTCCCAAATCCTGTAGTAATATCATTACACAAACTACCTCACTTAATCTTTCTAAAAGACACACACACACACACACACACGACTCTAGGCAAGTATTATTATTTGACAATTTGTTTACACTGGTTATTTTGAAACATAACATTGTACAGACACTGGTTAAACCATATATGTAAAGTTTAACAAAAGTTATAAAGAAATATCCAAATAAACAATAACCAGGTCAAAAATGACTATTCTGAGCACCGCCAAAGACTCACATATGTTTCTTCCCAATTACACTCACTTCTTCCCAGAAGTAAGCACTATTATCACCCTTGTAATCTTAATATTATTGCTTTTTGTTATGGTTTTAACTTTATGAACATATCCTTAATCAATATAAATTAGTATTTCTCCCTTTAAATGTTCTATAAATGCTATATTCCGTCTCACTTCTTTTGCCCAGTATTATGTTTGAGAAGATCTGTCATGGTCTTTCATGTAGCGGTTGTCCATCCATTTTCACTGTTGTGTGTAGTTTTCATTTGATGAGTGTACAGCAATGTACTTACCCATTCTAATGTGCACTTTTGTGTTACTTCCATTTAAAAAAAAATGTATTCTGGAGCATACGAACCTGCAACTTTTTTAGACTAGAATACATACCCAGACTGGAATTGCAGGGTCAAAAGTTTATGCCTATCTTCAGCTTTACAACGGAATGCCCAAGTGTTATTCAAATTAATTATCTCTCCATGTGCTCTCAGAAGTGGCTGATAAAGGAACCCAATTCCTGGCACTTTTGTATTTTAGACTTTCGTATGTTTGGCCACTTGGTGGGTATGGAGTGGTAGTTCACTGTGTTTCACCTTGCACTTCTCTCATTACCAACGAGATGAGCAATTCTGCATGTTTATTGCCCACTGGTGTTTACTCTTTACTGATGTACCTAAGTCTTTTCTTATTTGTTTTTAAAAGATACAAAAATATTATGAACCAAGCCCATGGTCAGTACATGCTTTGTAGATACTTGTTTGCACTTTGCAGCTTGTCTTTTTAACTCTCTAATGATATCTTTTGATGAGCAGTTGTTAACTTGCATGAAGTTGAACTGATCAATCTTTTCTCTTTATGGTTAGTGCTTTTAATGATTTGTTTAAGAAATCCTTTATACTTCCAAAGTCGTTCTCTAATTTCATCTTCTAATGCATTGGTAGGACTGCATTTCAGACTCAGGACTTTAACTCATCCAGGTTTAGTTTGTGAAGGGTGTGAGGAATGTGTCCAACTTCCCCTCCCCCACCACGGCTACCTGTTTATCACAACACCATTTATTAACAAAAGCATTGTTTCCCCACTGATCTGAAGCACCCCCTTGGTCATAAATTTAGTGTATGGAGATTATTTTGGGATACATTATGCCACCTGTTTATTTTTCTACGTTTGTGCCAATAATGTAGCGTGTAACTGCCATAGTTTTATTTGCTAGCTTAACATCCAAGAGAGCAATTTTTTTCACTGTGTTTACTTCTTCAAGAGTAGTTTGACTAATTTTTGCTTCTTGTACTTGTATTAAGTTTTAGAATCAGCTTATAAAGTTTTAAATAATTAAAAAAACTAACAATTTTAAATTCACTTGGGTGAATTGTCATCTTTATAATATTGTCTTAAATTCATGCACAAGATGTATCTTTTTTTTAGGAGTATTTTAATGTATCTCCTAAAATTAGTACCTTTCCTTTATGAAGTCTTAATATCCTTTGTAGGATTTACTCCTAGAGACTCATAATTTTTCATGCTGTCAATAAATGGTATAATTAAAATGTATTTAGAATTTGTTTCTTGTCTACAGAATGTTTGAAAGTGAATCTTTATTCCAGTTACTTTTCGAACTCTCTATTGCTTTCAATTCCTTTAGCAGTAGATTATTTTGGATTTTCTTCATTCACAGATTTATCATATGCAAATACTGACAGTTTCATTCCTTCGTTACCAACCATCGTTTCATTATTTTTCTTGCTTTACATTCGATTTTCTTTAATATTCACTGCAGGATTTGAGGCAGTGAAATTCACTGAATCCTTCCTGGGGATACAGTTCTGAGGGTTGAGAGCAGATTTTATTCAGTCACTTAGCTACACTGGTGTTTTCCTTCCCTTTTTCATGCCTCCCCTCACTAAGCATTTGGTTGGTGGGAATGCAAGGCTGAACTAAGTCTATTGCCGCTGGGCTCTCTCGCAGAGAACTTTGTGTACCTGTTTAAAAGCATGTGCTACTTCACCAATGGGACGGAGCACGTGAGGCTGGTGGTCAGACAAATCTACAACAAGGAAGAGATCCTGCACTTTGACAGCGACCTGGGCGAGTTTGTGGCTGTATCAGAGCTAGGGAGGTCATGGGCTAAGAGCTGGAACAGCCAGAAGGACCTCTTGGCGGTGTTTCGGGCCCACGTGGACACGCTGTGCAGGCACGACTACCAGGGGACCACTGGCTTCACCGTTCAGTGGAGAGGTGAGTTTGGGACGGGCGGGATGGACTTCACCTGGATCCTACTGGGAAGGCCCCATGAAAGGGATCTTCTGTGGTTTCCTAGGATCTTCGTGGGACTGGAAGGGGTTTCAAGTTCCAAGGAAAAAACGTTGGAGCACCTGGCTGGACAGAGATGGGAGGGTGTGAAAATCTAAGCAGGACAAACCCTGCACTGGGGGCAGCCGCTGGCATCCTTGGCTCTCTGAACGTCAATCCTTCACAGGTCGCAAGATTTATCATATGTGGCGGGGCTTCTGAGTCCCTCACACCACATGGACTCCATAGCGTTCTATAACATCTAATTCTTGTTTGACTCCTTAGTTCTTCCTCTTGCAGAAGTGGTTCTTTCTCCTTGAAATGCTCTCCTTTTCTCCACCTTCTCTTTCTTTTTCTATTAAGTTCTCTCACCCTTTTAGTTCCATCCTTAAGAGCAATGCTTCTGTAAGCGTAACTGAGGTAGGGGGGTGGAGCTTGAACTGGTCCCCCAACTGTGTGCATAGCACACTTTGCACGTGTGTATACACACATGAATATGTATATATGCATATTTTAAAAGTTATCCAGTCAGAAATAAGTTGTGGTATATTTATACAATGGAATATTACTCAGTCATAAAAAAGAATAAAATAATGCCATTTGCAGCAACATGGATGGACCTGGAGATTGTCATTCTAAGTGAAGTAAGTCAGACAGAGATATCATATGATATCACTCATATGTGGAATCTAAAAAAAAAGACACAAATGAACTTATTTTCAAAACAGAAACAGACTCACAGACATAGAAATCAAATTTAAGTTTACCAGAGGGGAAAGGTGGGTGGGAAGGGATAAATCAGGAGTTCAAGATTTGCAGATACTAACTGCTATACATAAAATAAACAACAAGTTTCTACTGTATAGTGCAGGGAACTGTATTTGATATCTCACAATGACCTATAAGGAAAAAGAATATGAAAAGGAATATATGTGTGTATACGTATGACTGAAACATCATGCTGTGCACCAGAAATTGCTACAATATTGTAAGCTGACTATACTTCTATTAAAAAATGGAACCCCCCCAAAATCCCCAAAACCAAAACCAGAGTTATCCAGTCTGTGTTACAAAGAACTTTCACATAAATTATCTTGTTCAAGAAACCAGTGAGCACGAAATAAAGATATTCTTTTCCTGAAAAGTGGGCTAACCAATTAGCTAATTAAACCCAGAGCTAGGAGTCCAACAGACGACTATTTAGTACCTGTGATCTTCTCTACTTTAGAATCAAAGGAGAGGTTTCAGGTGCTTTGCTGCCTTACTGTCTAATTTTGTCTCTTTTCCCTCCTAATGGAGCCTACAGTGACTGTCTCCCCAGCCAGGACAGAGGCTCTAAACCACCATAATCTGCTGGTCTGTTTGGTGACAAATTTCTACCCTCGCCAAGTTAAAGTCAAATGGTTCTGGAATGGACAGGAGCAGACAGCTGGAGTTGTGTTTACACCTCTTATTCAGAATGGGGACTGGACCTACCAGATCCTCGTGATGCTAGAAATAATACCACGGCATGGTGATGTCTACACTTGCCATGTGGGGCACCCCAGCCTCTGGAGTCCCATCACAGTAGAATGGCATAAGGGCTACATCATAGACACCACGGACTCAGCAGAAAACACAAAGTGCAGGGAGAACTCTGGGTCTGGTAGGGGGGATCTCTCCTTATTTATGCTGTGTCCTGCCTACCTCATAAACTCCTCTGCTGCACGACTCCCTGATGGAATTTCTGGGCTGGGAGTCATGGAGGACTAGCTCTCATGATTTCACGTCAAAAGGCACATGTTGAACAGTGATCTCATTTTCTCCCAAGATCTGATGGTTCTCCCCTCACACGACCTGACTCCCCAGGCTGCATTTAGCCTTGGCCATGCACCTTCTGAAATTCTGAAATTCTGGGCTTTGACATCAAGGCTGGTGTTTGAAGATGGTCTGTGGCAGTTGTAGATGGACATACCTTGTGAGGAGCTAACATCCCCCTCACCATCCACCTGCACTGTCCCCTTGGGGTCTTTGCATGCTCTCCCCCCTCCATCACTCGCCCACTTTGATCTCTGAGCTCCTCTGTCTCTTATAACCGGGGCTGGTCTCTAGGTTTCCAGACGAGAACACTGTGGGGCATGAGGACAGACACTGACACGCAGGCTTTACTTCCCAGGGGCACAGTCTGAATCTGCCCAGAGCAAGATGCTGAGTGGAGTTGGGGGTTTTGTGCTGGGTCTGCTCTTCCTAGGTTTTGGCCTAATCGTCCACTTTTGGAATAAGAACGGTAAGGCACCTTGGGAGAAAACGGGGCAGGCTGGTGTGGGGCTGAGGCGTTCTGTTGTAAATTTTCCTACCTGACCCCACAAAGGAACTGAGCGGAGGATGGTAGTAGATTTGCAGAAATTAGGGAGACTTCGGAGACCTCCTTTTCTTGGGTCAGGTTTGCTTCCTCACAGAGGTGAGAGGTGGGGGGGGGTTATCCTTAGAGAAGCTCTCATGTTGTCCTTACTTTCGTGGGCGATTATTAACACGGGCTTTTCTGCTCTGAGCTTCTTTCCTTAGACTCAGAGTCTCTGTTTATCTTCCTGTGGGGGCCAGCTCAGTGACTTCCAGGTGATCTTACTTTGTGGCAGTTGAAGCCTCACTGTACGTGGGTGGGCGAGGAGGAAATAAGCTGCCCCCTCATTTCCTTTTGGAGGCTGAGATAGAGAGAGAGAGAGATGGAATTTTCCCACTACCCAGGCTAATGAGTTTTTCTTCCTGTTCTCTTCCTATTCTTGCCGATGACAGACTATCCTGAGGCTCCGTCCACAGGTAATATTCCTACTCTTCCCGCCCAGAACTGTGACACACACACTACAGGAAAGGAGCTGAGTGGGTTTATCAGACCCTCAAATGTGCTTCTGTTATTTTGTCCCTGCTTCATGTCACATTCATTCATGTGAGCTGGGGCAGGGGAAATGTCTGGAACATTCTGTGCAGTCTCTGCAGGAAACTTCAGAGATTGTCCCCTAAAATAAGACCCAACCATTCAGCGAGGTTTGAATGATGCCCCAGACTCCAAAATTATAGAAAGTAGTCTCGAGCTAGCTGGTAGGGGAGCTGACAGTAGCCACAGTCCTATCCGGTGAGTCCATGACCTGTGCTCCACACACAAGCATTTCCTTACGCTCCCCTGCCTTCCATACGCCCCTTCGAGCTGCAGATTTGCGTTCACTTTAGCAGAGTGTCGTCTTTGCTCACGTCCAGCGAGGTAATGGGGAGCGGATGTTACACAGGGTTAACTTTCGGGTCCTGGAGATGGTCCCGTGGGAGGGCAGGGGCTGAATCTTCTTCAGGGACTGGTGTGACTTACGACTCTTCTCTCTCCTGCAGGGATCGTGCACTGACCCCCAGACGTTCTTCTTCCTGGGATTTGTCCCCTCTTTTCCTTGATTTTGTCCTGCTGTTCTTGTCCGTGGTTCCCAGCCTCCCTTCTCTCGGCCCCCCTGCCAGCTGTCACCCATCGAGATCTGGCTCCCACAGTGCCTGGGAGGCAGGTCCTCCTTTAGTTTCTGTCTTTCCTCAATGGAGGGACTGGGGATTGAACCCAGGACCTCATGCATGCTGAGCAGGCGCTCTACCATGTGAGCTACACCCTCCCCCTTAAGTTTCGGTCTTTCCTGAATTTCTGCCTGTGCCCCTGCTTCCCTGCCTCGTGCTCGA